AATTAACTACAAACTGTTTAGCATCCCACTTTTTATAAAGTAGATTATGTTCCAAAAGGCAATCTAAATCATTGGGACCACTCTCTCCTCACCTCCACCAAACCATAAATATCCTGGAAATAACAAATTTAAAAAAAAGAAGAAAAGAAAACCCACCGAAATGAATGAAATATATATATATATATGTATATATATATATGCAGCTTATTGATGTCACTCTCCATCCCTTTTCCTTAGTGCGCAATACATTATATAGATATATATGTTCAGCTTTAAGGTGACAATTGCATAACTATATGGACAAAAATATATTGAGGGCCCTTTTGTGGATAAGTATTCACCTCATCTTCCAATTACTTCTCTCCACTCAACATTATTATTATTATTTTTACATCTAAAACCCTAAAGAATTAGCTAATCCACTCGAAGGAGCCAATTCAATCCTCCTTGCAAGGAAAGGAGAGATCTCACACTTGATGTTATTCCCACTCTACCCTCTCCCTAAAACTCTTAACCAATCTCCCTATAAATTACACGCCACCTTCCTTTCTCTCCTCACCACCTTCGAGACCTCCATCCATCGCCCACCATCTCCTCCAATACCGCTCAGAGAAAGGGAGGCTTTCATTCCCTGTGAGTGAGAAGGGAGATGAGGGCGGGAGCAGGGTTCAACACGACGGCAGTGGTGGTGCCCTCGGCAGCGGCGGCGGCGGCGGCGGGGGGAGGAGGTGGGCACTCGGAGTGGCACTCGCCGGTGCCCTACCTGTTCGGGGGTCTGGCGGCGATGCTGGGCCTCATCGCCTTCGCCCTCCTCCTCCTCGCCTGCTCTTACTGGAAGCTATCGAGACGCCTCGGGGGCCGCCACGGCGGGGACGCCGAGCCGGACCCGAAGACGTGGGTGGGGGTGGCGATGCCGGCCGCGTGCTACGAGGAAAAGGTCGTGGTGATCATGGCCGGAGACGAGAAGCCGACGTACCTCGCAACTCCCATTTCGAGCCCAGCCTCGTCGTCGTTCGGTGATCACTGTAATAAGGGCGATCATTACAATGACGAAGAGGAGGGGAAGAAGATCGAGGATTGCACGGGGCCGGGAAATGAGACGCAAAACAAGGAACAGATCCGTAGCCAAAGCGAGAACCAAAACTTGGGTGCATGAGTTTTATTATTATTATTATTATTATTATTATTATTATTATTATTATTATTATTATTATTTAGATCGCTTTTTCTGATTTTTATTTGCGGGAAAAATGTAATGTTTTAGTCGAAGAAGAGAGCCCCCCTTTTTTTTTGTGTTTTCCGGTTGCATAGAAAATGCATATTTTATGTCTTTCAGTGGATTTGATTATTTTATAGCAGAAAAATAAATGAATGATAATAGTAATAGAAATGGGCGGTGGGTGGGGACGCGGCTATCTGATGCACGCCGACGTTACTCCGCCCGCCATGCTGCTCGGAAACTGTTTGTGTTATGGTGTCGACAGAGCGAGACGCGTGCTACCTACGAGATGCCCGAGAAGAACAGATGGCACACAGTAGTAGCTTTTTCCTTATCACACTCGCTTATTCTACATGTTATGCACGACAGTTATGTAATTTATTTTTGCATTATATATATATATATATATATATATATATATATATATATATATACTCTTTTTTTTTCCATAAGTAGAATTAATTTTAAAACATCTTAAATATTAGTGACCATGAAATATATAAATTTACTTGAGAGTCTGAAACTTAAATTGATATTTGTTGAAGATGTCGACGTCGGTAATTTTAATTTTAATTTAATTTTTATATATATAAAAATAATTTTAAAATATATTTAAGGAAGAAAAAAAAAAGAAAGGTCGAAATCCACGGTTGAATCACAAGCGACCGGCGGCAACAAATTAGCCACCCGATTTGTGCCCACTTCTCCATCGAAAGATTCGACTCGTTCCAATGATTGCTATATGCTCTTTAGGTGGTGGTGCGAATCAATCAATTGCCGATGGCTTTCTTTCTCCTAGTGCAAAGCCGGGGTTCCGAATAAGGATGCGGCCATCCGGCCGAGAAGCTCTCTCCCCGCAGAACATGCATCCGTCCCCTCATCTTCTGTGGTTTTCTCCTCTTCTTGCTATTATAAATTATATTGTATGCTCATCCACTCCGAGGGGTTGACGTCCCACTCGATTTGTTTGTCAGATTATGGACGACAAATAAGCAAATGTTTACTGTAAGAAGATCAACATGGTGGTGATGTTGCATGGAGAGGTGGGAGAAAGCAAACCACCACCACCACTTTCCCAAGAAGATGAACATGCCGGTCTATGACCACCCTGCGAGAGAGAGGTATGATGTTGGTCGAGTGCCCGAGAAAAGTACAGCTGCGGGCGGTGGAAGCAGTCGGCGTCCGTGTCGTCGTCTGAGCCGGACTCTCGCGTTACAGAATCGGGTGCTGACCTCGGAAAAGATACCGGAGGAAGTGGCCGACAGACAGCAGAGGGACGTCGAACCAGTAGGACGCCGAGGACGTGCGCGCAAACAAGACAGAGAGAAAAAGAATGATGTGATGCTTCCTTCTTTTGTATGATCCTAATGTAGTTTATGTAAACCGTGGAATCGTATCGGATGTGGAAATGCTACGTTTTTTGGGATTTTATTTAGAAATGTACGTTAGTCTTTTACGGAATGATGCCTTCATAATTAAAATTTATTTGAGTCATCATATTTTTATAAATTTAATAAAAATATTTTTTCATCCTCCATTAGTTGTCTCCACTTTCGTTGCCACTCTTATCATCATCGTCTATGCTATCGCTATCCCCATTGCTCGTGGTATATGTTATCTTTTCTCTTCTCCCTTCTCCTTCTCTTTCGTTTCTAGTCGTCTCCACAACCTCTTTCTTTTTCTCTATGTAACATTACTCATTATACTCTTCCCCCCCATGAGAGGTGCAGTGCTTCGATCACCCACTACACTAGGGGCATATGGTTAAGGACGATACAGACAGATGTGATCGATGAAAGATAAAAGATATTTTTATCAAATTAATGAAAAAATACTCCTATTTAAAAATCAGATGTTATTTAGTAAAAACTCAATAGTGAGAACTTATTTAGGTAAAATATTTTCTATTTAAAAACTCTACTAACTTATCATATAATTAAAAAAATAAGACAAGCTTTCAAATCATCTTTAACAAATTGAATCTGATACACAAAAAATCAATATTTTAAATGTTAAAAAATTATCAAATAAAATCTCAAACCCTCCCATTTTGGAACTTTTCTTTTAATCCTCTCCTCGATCTCTATCTCACATGTTAATAAATATATCCTAACATTGATAGCAATCGTTTGTAACATGTCTAATCTAATTATTTTTAATTCTTACTATATAAAACTATCCTCTAGGCATCGATTCCAACTTATAATTTCTAGATTTCTGACACCGCATATTTTGTTTCCCGGATGAGTCACCACCAACGTCACACGCCACGTCTCAATCAATGTCAAAATTCGACGTCATACGCCATCAGAACCCTGTGATGCATGCCAAGTCGGGTTCCGTACCGAGATACTGTGCGACATGACCATCCCAAGAGCTCGGGGCGGTACTGTCTGACGCCGCTCAGGCATCCCCAAAGACGCCAGCTCGTCAGAGAAGTCGTCCCATCCCACAAAGGTCAGTGGCCGCACCGAACCGAGGTACAACCAATCCTCGCACAATAGTATAAAAACCCCTATCCGACACCCAGCCAGGGGGAGAAAAAATCGAGATAAAAACATACCACGAACTTGCTCGTCGGAGCGGGAAGCACCCGAAGGCCATTTTGCAGGAAAGCGACTGCCCGCGACTAACGAGCGTCTCAACCTGGGAATTGTCATCCAGTGTACGAGGACGCGCTATCATCCATCTTGAAGACGGAGAGATGTGACCTGCCATAAACAGAACCCGAGTCGGCAAACCGAAGAACGCTGCTCAAGACCCCCTCACGAGAGCCCAATCGACTCATGCTCGAGTCGCTCTGAAACGACCACCTCCGAGCGGCAAGCGTCTCGACCCAAGAAATACCTTCCGTTGCACAAGGGAAAGCAGTGAGTTGGCCCGGATCCCGGACCAACATTCCTCCCCGAGAACGTGGCCACTTCATCATCCTACTCACTCTGCAAGAAGCTCCCGACATCGACCCGCGGACTTAACCGTGCTGACTCATCAGCCACGGTACTTTTGTTCGCTAACATACTATATTGTCTACACCACCGAGTAGGTGATTTAGAACTATGTTCTTTTATCATAAGGAGAGGCTTCAACGTGTACTATCTAAAAATGGTTATAATCAAGATTCTTAATTTCGATTTGTACTGTTTGATACGGACGGTACGTATCGGTCTGAGAAGATATCGATATATGGATTGTCCTCTACCGGATAGTGCTAGTGTTTTGATCGGTATCGAGGCGTACCGTTCGGTATCATTCCAGATTTCAATTGTTATCAAGGCATATCGATCGGTGCGCCCTAATGTGATATGTGAAGATATTTTTAAGGTTTTAAAGTACACTATAGGTATGTCCTAGTGTACCGATGATATATATCGACACGTATCGTATCGAGCTCTGTTCGATACGTTGATACATATCGATATTCAAAATCCTGATTACAACTATAGTTCGTGACCACTTCAGCTCCTCGAAAGGATTCAGCCTGTAGATGAGATTGCATCAAAGCATGTGAATCTTATATCTATCCATTTTTTAATGTGTTGAGCACCCATTATTCATTCGGACTTGTATCAAAAATTTGAGTCCCATTTAGACATCAAGCCTAACTAGCTTTCTCATGAGACATGAAGGAATGTTAAAGTATGTATACATTGGACCTTTTTACTAATAGCTGAAGTTTTTGGATTACCTCATCACATCTTAAAACTCAGTCACAAGTTACCATATACTGGTGTGGATTTGCTGAATGATATATCCTCCAATTAGTTTGATGAGCAAGATATAGATTCTTCATGGTCATCATATATCCTCCAACTAATAGCTTAAGATCACAGTCTACTTGATAGATACAGTTTGTACGATTCACTACAAATTTTACAGTCACAACATGGATTCCACAATAATGTTCATATTCATTCAATAATACACAGTACCAAAGGCAGGCGTGCAGTCTCATCCAACCATTCGCTCCTTCCTCCACGTTGCTTGCATGCATGCATGCATGCGTTCTTTCTGTATCAGCCTACGTTTTCCCGCTTTGCTCCCTACAAAAATCGTGCTAAAATCCATCAGTTTCGGATCCGAATCATAACACCAAACCTTATGTAAAGTGCGTTAATTAGGATATCATCAATACATCTCCTCTATTTTGGATGCTACCTAGAAGATATGGGAGGCTTCAGAATGATGGCACAACGCCGTAGTCGTCATCCGCCATGAGGGCCGCCACAGCATCCGCCGCCGATGAGTAGATCCGGCCGACCTCTGCCTCCACCTCCGTCCGCTTCGCGAACCGCCCCTTGATCCTTGGCCGCGCCTCCGCGTAGGCCTTCCTCGACGCGTACCTTATCGTCTTCTCGAACCTCCGGCTCTTCCGCTTCTCCCTGTATCGCATCAGCCGTGCCTCCCGGTCCAACCGTGCTGCCGCCGGATCACACGGCATCCCCACCGCCGATGGCTGCGACACGTCCGGCACCACGGCTGCCTCCGACGACGACACCTGCACCGTCCCACGAAGCAAAGCTGTGAGAACACGTTGCGGTGGCGCTTTTTTAGCTCGACGTGGATTGATGGTGTGGAGAATACGCTGTGGCATAAGGAATGATCGGCTTCTTGTTTGCATCCGGCGATATTGAGATCGAAATAGTCACCACCAGGTGCCAGGAAGAACGGCTGGTCCGCTCCCACGACGGTCTTCATCTCGTCCATCGACGAGCCGTAGTCGAGATCCAGGTAAGCATCAGCGTCGGAGAAGAAGAACTCCGCGGCCGATCGGAGCACCGGGCCCTCTTGGGGGAGGAGGGATGAGGCGGCCTCGGCGTCCGTCTCTTCGTCGTCGCCGCTGCCTACGCGTCCGGTGGCAGGGGGCTTGGGGGCAGGGCCGAGGAAGGGAAGCAGGGGGATACGCTCGTGGCGGCGAGCGAGGGGGTTGGCGGAGTGGATGTCGGCGTCACAGTCGGCGCATAGGGCGGCGGCGTCGGCCTTGCAGGTGACGACGGCGGGGACATGCTCGCAGACCTCGCACAGCCAGGCGCGCTCGTGGCGGGAGGCCAGGCCGTTGGCGCCGTGCACGCGAGCGTCGCACCCGCGGCAGAGGTAGGCAACATCGGCGCGGCAGTAGAGGAGGGCGGCCGACACGCGGCACGAGTCACAAGGTTTCGACGCCACGCTCAGGTACGCGCCCCCCTTCTTCTCCTCGACCTCTTCCCTCTTCATGGATCTCTCTCTCTCTCACAGACACACACACACACACACAGAGCACGCCCTCGCCTCTCCCTCGCTCCCTCTATCTTCTCTCTCTTTCTCTCTCTCCCTCTCTCCCTCACAACCTTCGGTTCTTTCAGATTGATTGGTTTATTTATGTATTTATTTAATGGGGTTTTAAGATCTTCCTAATTTCCCATTGGCCGGCGCTCTATCCTGTTAGGGGCCCACGGATGGGAAACGTAGCCAATCAGTGTCGAACACGTTGCGTGTCTTCGGCCATTTGTTTCTATGACTTTCTGGTAGCGTAGAATAAATTATCCAAAATTAATATTAATAAAATATATGGACGAGACAAGAAGGGCGCTACTTAGTAAGCGACAGTGGGGCCCAGCGTCGATTAGTTGCACTTGGATTGGTCAGCTAGTCGTGACAGCCCCATCACCGGCCAATTGTACCCGGTGACACGCGACGTCAACGTCGGACATCGACACCATGCTATTTCAACGTGGATTCCCCTGGCACGTTTCACGGGTGATTCAGTAACTGAATTTTTCCATGGTAGTCCATGTAACTGATTCCCGTCCCGAAAACATGGACCCACTGACTCACCCGTGGGCTCCACTGGTCGCTGACCAATAAAAGAAGGTTTTCTTTTTGGCTGTTCAAAAACTCGAGTCCTGATTCAACTCACGGCTTCAACCACACTTCCACGTCTTTTAGTCGTTCTTAAATCGTATCCTTATGTAATAATACCGCTGCGGCTTGCGACGCAAGGCCGACCGAACCCTTTCCCCTTCCGATCTCTCAAACTCGCGCTCGTTTCCCTTCGAATCGCTCCGCACCTACCCGTCTCTCCTCTGTTCCTCTCTCGCATCGCTTGCTTCCGCATCGATCCAGGGTTAGGGTTTCCCGGTCCTTTTGGCCATGAATCTTCACGATCTTAACAAGGTCTGGGAGATCAAAGCCCTCAAGAAGCCCGGCGAGGAAGAGGCACGCCGCCTCCTCGATCGCATCGCCAAGCAGGTCCAGCCCATCATGCGCCGGCGCAATTGGAAGGTCAAGCTCCTATCGGAGTTCTGGTATTGTCGATCCCCTTGTTCTTCCTTCGCTTCTTCTTTTCTCTCTTCCTCCTCGTCTTACGCATGGAATGATCGATCCTCTTTGGGGTTTGGTGCAGCCCAGCCAATCCGGCTCTTTTGGGGTTAAATGTTGGAGGCGGCGCCCAGGTGAAGCTTCGCCTGAGGAGGCCCAACAGGGATTGGGATTTCTTCCCCTTCGAGCAGGTCCTCGACACGATGCTCCACGAGCTCTGCCACATCGAGCACGGCCCCCACAATGCCGCTTTCTACAAACTCTGGGATGAGTTGCGCAAGGTAATTCCTTCTGTTTCCCAATTTGTTTCTCTTTTTTTGTGTCAATGTTGTACTTCATAATATGTTCACCGAATCACAGAACCGATGACTGGTATAATTACTTGAAAAACAAACAGAGTTGGAAGCTTGTTTACTCCTTTGTCTAGTGAAGGTTTTATTCAACGGACATTACAATAAAAGTTGGTGTTCTGATTCTTCCTTCGACATACATTAGCTTTTGTGGAGTAAGAATTATGCATGTTACGTGATAATATGAGTCACTGATTTAATCAGTCATGATTGCATTTTGATTGTCCAATGTTACAGTCTTTGTTCCTTTTACTTATCTCTGCTTATTTTGGTTAGTTTGTTCATCTGGTCCTAGTTTCTGAAGCTCTTTTACATAATTTTTATTGATTTGAATTGGAATGTGAAAGTTTTGATCTCTCTTATAGCATGCACTTTTGGCCTTCCCAACTTTCCATCCCTGGTTTATTTTATTGTATTATGCTATTATCTAGTTGCTTCTTTATAGGATGCTTGTGTGAGGTGTGTAGTAACAGTGATTGATGATGACTAATAGAACCTGAGCATGATTTTGTTAATTCAAGCACATGATTTTTGCATTTTTCATGATGTATTTGTGGAACTGGCTTTTATCAACTGATGCAGGAATGTGAAGAACTGGTTGCAAAGGGAATAACTGGAACTGGGCAGGGATTTGATGCCCCTGGAAGACGCTTAGGTGGCTTCTCTCACCAACCACCAGTATCATCCCTTCGGCAGGCTGCAGTTGCTGCTGCAGCAAAACGGGCTCGTGTTGGCGCTTTGCTACCATCTGGACCTAAAAGATTAGGTGGAAACACTGAAATTATGGATGCACTTAGTCCAATACAAGCTGCTGCTATGGCTGCAGAGAGAAGGATGTATGATGATATATGGTGTGGGTCTGTGTCAGATGAACCCACTGGTGCTGTAGAAAGTATCTGCGGAATCTCTAAGTATCCTTCATCTACAGAACAAGGTGATTCATCAAGAACTTCTGATGATGGGGTACGAGGGGAGGACTTTGTACTAAGGGGTCCTAGTAATATAGATAAGGTTGGGAGTAGCTCCCACTCTAAGTGCAAGAACCATGAGTCTACAACTGATTGCTTATCTGGTGGGGCACCAGTAGCTGGTGGATCGACATTCCATTACCCAAAAGATGGTGGTGAAGATCAAGCAATTTGGGAATGCAGCTTATGCACTCTATTCAATCAAGTAAGGCTTATGCTTTATCAACTAAACTATAGTCACCGTTTGTAACTTGCATTTTGATCATTTTGCTGATTTTTCTTTACAAGCAGAACTGAAATTATATTATGTCAATCTGCAACATGGGATAACTCATGGATTCTTGCTCTTTCCGTATGTGATTCATTGAGATTGGCATTTTGTAGCCATTTGTTTTTTGTAACCACGTACCACCTTCTGGCTGTTAACATAGTAATACTAACTAAAAGATGTTAATGGATTTGAAATATATGCTTTGGTAAATACATGTTAATTCATGAGATTTGTCTTTTTTGACTACTTGTATTTCATAACTATTAAAGTTCAAAGGAGAGATGAGTTGTACATCATAACTATTGAATTTCAAATGAGAGAGTGAGTCAAGTTGTTTAGAAGTTTTTCTTCTATTATTATTCATCTTAGACCATATTTTCGGTTTAATCTTCCACATTTTATTCAATCACCACACAATTGGTGGGATATTAAATAACTCAAGGAATCTATTCTTTACCAGCTACCTAGTTTATGGATCACTTTATTTATGCAAATGACGTTCTTTTGCTCCTAACAACCATTTACAAAAGTATATCTTCCCTTTCTCTTCTCGCTTAGTTTGAACATGATTGTTTATTCTCAAATATTTCTCCTATATATAAAAATATGGATGTATGTGCGGAAACTAACTCGTTTTTTATTTCATCTATATCGTGGACTTTTGCAAAATAACTTTGGATTTCTACAGCCATTGGCACTAATATGCAAAGCTTGTGGAGCTCAAAAACCAAAAGCTATTGGATCTAAATCTAAGACCTGGTCATGCAAATTTTGCACCCTAGAGAACAGCACTAAGCAAGACAAGTGTACAGCCTGTTGTCAGTGGAGATATTCATATGGTCCGCCGGTATCTACCCATGGACCCAATTATGGGACTTGAGTGATAGATGCAACTTGATAATGTAAATGGTGATCGTACTGTATGCTTGTAAGTACCTCTGTGTTTCTCGCTTTCATCATTTCAATACCAACACTAAAATAACTTATAGTTTGTTGATGGAATATTTGGCATGGAGTTTGGGAGCCTGAGCAATGGGATACCATTTTTGTGCCTTGGGTTACTGGTGAGCATATTTAATCTGTCCTTTCTGCTTAACAAAGTTGTGTCAAGGACTTTTGGTTGCTTGCAAAATTACTTTTTAAGGTGGTCCTACTTTTTATTTGTATTGCCAATACGAGTGATGATTTCTTCATTGTCTTGCAGGTCATAGTGCTTTTGTGGTTAAAATGTAGGTGAACAAGCCGAATGCAGGTCATTATTTCGATGGCCTACATTGTGGCTTCATCTCCATGGATATCGATCTGCCACAAAGCCTCCCATCTTTTTCAGTGTTCAGTTCCAGGTGCTATTTTCCTGACCAAAGAATGCTTTTGCTTATTTTACTTAATCTGTCTTATAGTTTTGCAATATATTCCTACATGCAAACTGTTAATGGAAGTCCAATCTTATACTATATGGAAATTTCAACTTGTGATTCATGTCATCCTCTGAACTAGCTAATTTGATGTTTTATACTCTTCAAATATACTTGTTAAGTTGATGAACTATTATTGCCTTGGATCCCTATTTCATAATATGATAAATTCAGCACAGAACATCCATTAAGTAACAAAAAAACTCTTGAGTTGCACCAGTTTTCAGTGATTAATATGGGCAATCCTCAGAGCCTTGCCGGTGGACAAAATAGACCTATTAGAGGTTTAAACCAAGGCATGTACCACGGACCATTCTCACCATCATGCCACATCTGTGACCGCAGATTCGAGTCAAAGATCTAATGGCGCATAAGTTATGTCCCTATTGAAGCCAATAAAGATCCTCTCACTAACTCCATCACAAGTTTCATATCCTGTTCTTATTGCAATAAATGTAGTGACGTATGATGTTAGTGTCACCTAAAGGATCCCAATGTGCTACCAACTAGAAATGGCACTAAACGTTTGTTCCTTGGATCCATTGCCACCACCTAGTAAGAGAGACGTTGTGACAAGGCTTCATTGATCTGAGGAAGGCCCTTCCCGTCTCATGCTGTTCCTGGCGAGTGCCTCTACATCACTCGACACTCTTCATTGTCATCAACCACCCATTGATCAGCTATCCATGGACATAAAAATCTGGCCGAATCAGATGGTTTGATGCGGGTTTGAAGCAGAATCGATTCAATAATTGAACCAATCCGATCCAAGATCTGTTTCATGGTTTTCTTGATTGGACCGGCCATTCTCAGTAACTATCTTGAAGAGATTCTGTCTCATCTTTTTAACTAAGCTTCAGGAATTTTACCCCTACTTTTTCTTTTGGTAGCAACCACATATGAGGGGCTGGTTTGTTCTTGATATATAAAGAACAAGAATTTGGTCAGATTTAGAAAATTAAATAAAGGTTTATCACTTAAATATATGGTTAAATTAATTTATTTGAGTTAAAACAACATAAAATAACTTTGAATGTCTCCAATGTTCTTAGTATTACACTGAGTTTTTCTAGGATATCAATATAAATTAACAGTTAATCTAAAGTGTTTAATGAACATTAATTAAAATGGCACTATGCAATTTTTTTTTTGTTTTGGGGAAATATACATGATAAGCAAAATTTTAGAGACATCAATAGGCCTTCCGAGGTGTGTGTATATATATAGTTTTTGGCACAAAAAAAAAAGAGTGAGTGGGAGTAGTGAATGAGATGCCACTGTTTTGGGTCTAACGGTCAACCGACCAAACATAGTTTTACATTTCTTTAGTCCACTGAATCACATTGCTAGAGGCAATCTCTCCCCATTTAGCATGAATCATAAGCAGTCTCATGTGAGATGCTATCCGGTGCAGTCTTTTGGGTTGACTGATGGGACCAACCTATCAAAAGCCTAGTTGGTTGTATTCCGTAGTTTTCTGTTGGCCATCCAAAATAAGATGTGTCTGAGGTTGAGGAACTTGCAAAGGCCAAGCGTAGTTCATGAGCGCCATATAATTCACCTACTCCTTTGGGAGGAATATGTTTCACCAAAATGTTCTTGAAGGGTACATGAACTTATGGAGAAGAATCTTGTGACCAGCAGGCATGAATCATGTACTGATGACATTTTGTTGGACACTGAAACGAGATAGTTGTGTGCAGACGTTCTTCTGTATCCCCCTCCCCAACTATTTCTGTGAATGGCAATCATGTACGCTGTTGGCGTTTTCTTGAGGCTGATCCTGTCTAGTACAGTAGTAGGTAGACTACTGTGGACTCATCCATAGGTTGTTGTATTCCTAACCACTTAGGTTGTTGTATTCCTAACCACTCCTAACGACAAAAATGGGTCCAAAAGGAGGAATGTGCAACTCATCCTCACAAAACTTTCATCCCGTCTTTGATATCGGTAAAAGTGAGTTCCTCCACCGAGGGGTCGTCTTCTTCTTATCTATATATGACTTGCTTACCCACTGCTCTACTGCCCATAGTTCCCTGCACGCGTCCTCCACGCTATTACACTCGTTTCACACGCCAAGGCCTCCGCCTTCGTTCGCCCATACCCTGCTCAGCTTCACTTGGCATTGTCGCCTTCCCCTTCGCAACCATACTGCCCTGCTTTAGCTCTCGCCTGCGACATCGTGGCTCGGCTCTACCCTGGCCTGAGTTGCAGTTCCCTGACCTTCGTCTCGTCCCCATCGCCGGATGCCACAAGGCACGGTGGCGTCGGAGTGGGAGATCAGGATGTTCCTGGTGGCAATGCCGGATGGCCTGGTGACAGGGCTGGACGCGGCGATGAGGTGCGTGGTGAGCGCCGCGTTCCTGTGGATGGCGGAGGTAGTAGGGGTGCTGCGGGTCCCGCTGTGCACTGACGGGGCCGTGTTATGTGCCATGTTCTCCGTCCTCGAGGTGAGGGAGCGAGGTATGTGCCATGTTCTCCGTCACCTTTTGGGATGGCCGTGCATGTCGTGAATCTTGATGCACACTAGGGACCCTTGAATGTATGACATTTAAGGGTCAACAAGATCCCAATGGACACAAATTTATGCTACGATTACGCATGCAATGCCCATAAACATAAGAATGGCTTATTCGCCATTGTTTAACGTAGCCGTCGTCCGCCGGGAGCAGCAGCTCCACTTCATTCCCGGCGTCTCCGCCCATCGAGTCTGCTACCTCCCCGAGGGCGTCGTCTTCGGCCCCCTCGTCTCCTCGTTCTCGTGCCTCCTACGCCGCATGGGCCAAAATGTCTCCAAAGCTGCCGCCGGCCTCGTCAACATTTGCGAGGGCCTCGACCCCGCCATCAACCCTGGCTGGATCGCCACGCGACGGCCACCGTGGCCTACGTAAACTTCGGTTCGGTCGTGACCCTGCCGCCCTCCGAGCTGACCAAGCTCGCGGAGGGGTTGGAGGTCAGCGGGCGGCGTTCCTCTGGTCGCTCAAGGGCCAGGCCGAGGAGCTCCTGCCGCCGGGATTCTTAGACCGAACCAAGGGGAGGGGCCTCGTGGTAAGCTGGGCGCCGCAGTCGGACGTCCTGCGCCACGCGGCGGTGGGAGCCTTCGGGACCCACTGCGGCTGGAACTCGGTGTTGGAGGCCATCACGGCCGGTGCCCCCATGGTGCGCCGCCCCTTCTTCGGGGACCAAAGCATGACCGCGAGGTCCGTCTCCTTCGTGTGGAAGATCGGAGTCGAATTCGAAGGCTGAGCGATGACAAAGGAAGGGGTGACGAGGGCTTTGCACACAGTGTTGAAGGGCGAGGAAGGGAAGCGACGACGCGCGCAGTGCAGCCCGGGGGAAACTCGTCGGTCAACTTTAACAGTCTTATGCAGTTCATTTCGTGTCAGTTACTGTGATGCCGGTGAACGTGAACGACACAATAATAACAATAATATTCGTTATGTAATGTATTAAAAATATAATAAACTAAACAAACTCGGATCGAGTTTGGTTTCTCTATTTGATCTGTTTAAATAACATTTGTTTCTGGTCGATGATCTAACAAAGATTTTGGTGTTGACGGAGTCAACCATGTGACCCACCTAAATCGAGAACCTGAAGAGCATGCGATTTAGTTGGACCGAACCTGTATGAGCTTGATTTTTTAGTTGGAACCGGTTTCAGTCAACGCCGAACCCGTTTGACTCTTTTTCTTGACGTTGGCGGGTTCGGATCCTCCACACGTCACTCCGCAGCCGTTTAATGTGCGAGTACTCGACGCATGTGGTGGTAGGTTTGGGCAGCGGGATTTGTGGAACTCGATGCTTGGAGGTGACGTGGCACGCGATCCTTCCTGCGACTATAAGGTATCACGAGGATAACCGTCGGCTTTCACGGACACGACAGGTTCGTTGGCTTTCTCGTATTTATACGCGCGTTGCCCCATAGCTGAAATCATCGCCACCGCTTAACTCGCGATCCTTGGGACTACTCCGCTCTACCGCCATGACCTCTGTTCACCTCTCCCCCGCCCAGCGTCACGTGGCCTTCGTCGCCTTCCCCTTCGGCACCCATGCCGCGCCGCTTTTTGCCCTCGCCCGCGCCATCGCCGCCGCGGCGCCGGGCGCCGCCTTGTCCTTCCTCAGCACCGCCCGGTCCCTCGCGTCCCTCCCCCAAGCCCAGGGGCTCGGAAACATCCGCCTCGTCCCCATCGCCGACGGAACGCCGGAATCTTCCGCGGAGCCGCCTCCGGCTAGCGAGCAGGCGAAGATCGGGATGTTCCTGGCCGCGATGCCGGGGAGCCTTCGGGCGGGGATGGACGACGCGGTGGCGGGGGCGGGCGGGGCGGCGGTGAGCTGCGTGGTGAGCGACGCCTTCCTGTGGATGGCGGGAGAGGTGGCGGAGACGGCGGGGGCGCCTTGGCTCCCGTTGTACACTGGCGGCCCAGCGTCTCTCTCCGCCCATTTCCACACTGATCTCCTCCGCGAAACCATTGGGGTCGGCGAACGAGGTAAAGCACCCTTGTCCTCCTCGATGGTAAGTACAAGAGAGGCTTGCACGTCGACAATTCCGATGCAAACACCATGGTTGCACTTACCAAAGCGTCTGTGAACTTGCAAGTGTTCCTTCCATGGTCACCTAATTTTGAGCATTTATGAGAAAGCTGACATATACCCAAATGACACCAAGATTACTTCGCTTCGAATTAAATTCAATGTGCTCTATCATGTGATATAAAAAGATCAATTAGGTTATGTGGAGGAGATCGTAGCCACTCAATTAGGTTGCTCACAACACCAGAAGGAGGTTTGGCTTCTTAGCATTTATTTGAATTGGCCATTCTTTAGTGATTTACCAACAACCTCCACTGCCACTGCTGTCCTTCCTACTGTATCAACCTTCGTGTTTTTGCCTTCTTAATCCATGCAAAGACGATATTTATTTAGAACGAGATTAATGTCTATAATCATATTTTTCATGCATTAATGCTATTTGAACTTGTTCCATGTAGCCATCGCCCGTAGCAAGGAGCAGCTCCACTTCATTCCCGGCCTCTCCGCGCATCGAGTCTGTGACCTCCCCGAGGGCATCGTCTTCGGCCCCCTCGACTCTCCGTTCTCCTGCCTCCTCCACCGCATGGGCCAAAGCGTCGCCAAAGCCGCCGCCGTCCTTGTCAACACTTTCGAGGGCCTCGACCGCACCATCGACGGCGAGTTCTCCGCCAGCTTCTCCAAGTACCTCCACATCGGCCCCCTCCACCTCCTCGTGCCTCTTGCCGGCCCCACGCCGGACACGCACCACTGCCTCCCCTGGCTGGACCGCCACGCGCCAGCCACCGTGGCCTACGTCAGCTTCGGCTCGGTCATGACTCCCCAGCCGGCGGAGCTGGCCGCGCTGGCCGAGGGGTTGGAGGCCAGCGGGGCGGCGTTCCTCTGGTCGCTCAAGGACCACGCGAGGGAGCTCCTGCCGCCGGGATTCTTAGACCGGACCAAGGAGAGGGGCCTCGTGGTCAGCTGGGCGCCGCAGTTGGACGTCCTGCGCCACGCGGCGGTGGGTGCGTTCGTGACTCACTGCGGCTGGAACTCGGTGTTGGAGGCCATGACGGCCGGCGTCCCCATGGTGTGCCACCCCTTCTTCGGGGACCAAAGGATGAACGCGAGGTCCGTCTCCCTCGTGTGGAAGATCGGAGTCGAATTCGAAGGCGGAGCGATAACGAAGGAAGGGGTGACGAGGGCTTTGGACACTGTGCTGAAGGGTGAAGAAGGGAAGCGGATGAAGGCGATGGCTTGCGAGCTGAAGGCCATGACGACGCGTGCAGTGCAGCCCCAGGGGAGTTCGTCGGTCAACCTTAAGAGACTGATGCAATTCGTTTGATGTCAGTGTCTCTGATGCCAATAATAATAATTATTATTATTATTATTTAATAATATTATAATCATGGCAGAGGAATATTTACGTAAACATGGGAGACACGTACGTGCAGAGCGTACGTGCGTACGTTTCTTTTATTACTCTTAGGCCCCTCAGAAAATAAGTAAATCGGGATCGGTACTCACTGGCATTAAACACAGGCGCACGCTTAGCGCATTGTTACGAAAAGATCCCTGTCATTATTTGTTTATCACTTTACTTCCTGTTTGTGCTTTTTCACGTACGATTCGTTGATAAAGGTTGACTGGGAAAAAGATATAGGAAGGGCTCTTTCATAAATATTGAAAATGACAGTGGCCTCATTGCTAAGTCGAACGCAGGCGTGCGACAACAACCTTATCTCCGCCGTCCATTTCAAGACTCCTTAAACTTCGGACGTCCCCCGCACCAAAAAGAGGGCAGCGATTTTTACTACCTACTATTAATTTACCCTCTCGCGTACAAACCTAATGATCGGACGTTAATGTGGGCTCCACGGGAATCACGAGGATTAGAATCTGCAGGGTGATTTTTGTGGATAATGAAAAGTATCTTTTTTTTAAAAGAAAACCTTCTATATAAGCGCCCCCTCCCTCTTCGATTCCTTCTTTTCCGCTAATTCTCAACAAAGATTCCCCCTTTTAATTCCCTGATACAGACACCAGCGATTTGGAACTTGGAGGCCTGCGGGGTTTAAGGTTAAGGAAGATGCCGATTCCGTGAGGGGTGGGGTTGGTTCTTGATGCGGCTTCATGGCGGAGTGCGGAGCTGAATCTTCCTGGAAGAACGAGTTCCCGTTGGGGATGCGGGTGCTGGCCGTGGATGACGACAGGGTGTGCCTCCGGCTGCTCGAGACCCAACTCAAGGAGTGCGGATACCAAGGTATGGGTTCTTCTTCTCCGCTGTTGTCGTGTAGTAGTAGTAGTAGTTGTTGTTGTTCCAAGATGTGTGGTTGGATTCTATCCAAGATTGGGGTTTGAACTCCGATCTTGGTTTCGTTATTCCTGTTTCTGTTGTTCTTTAGAGAGTCGTGGATGGTTTCTTGGTTGTTACTTGTGTCGGGCTTTGAAAGGCTTCGTAGAAATTGGCTTATCTGAATTTGATGATTCACGGAGATGGTTGCGTGCCAATTAATCTAAAACAACGATTTAAACGAGCAAAAGAAAAGAGTGCGTGGATATTAGGGTTCGACAAAGTAATGTGAATATAGAATTTTGTTGAGCGCTAAACAATATTTTCTTTTGGTATTTTGTTTTATGTTTTAGTGTTTCTCTTCTTTTAATATACTATGGGCATTGATTTATCATATAAGCTTTTTGATTGAATGATTTCTTGAAACCCAAAATTGCTATTTCTTTTATGAATTACCAATAGGGACATTGGACTTTTCTTAGCCATGCCGCTTAGTGTAAGTGATTCAATTTATGAGAGATATAGTGAACAAGGTCCTTGTACCTGTTATGTAGTCTTTGTGATAATGCAATTATTGCATCTTCAAGTTGTTGGTTGGAGGAACAGAAAAGAAGGGTCTTTGAATGCATTAAGCATTTACTGCCAGAATCACAAACTTCAAATATTTTCTAGGTGCAGAAACATGTATAGATACCATAAAGGACAATGTAGTTCCGACCTGCTTAGCTGTGCCAAAATTTACCCTCAAGAACTTTACTTTTCAACTCAAATGTGGTCAGCTTCTGCCGGATTCTTCACAAAAAAAAGAAACTTGATTCATCGTACAATGTGACATATTAAACACATCCTCTCCATTTTCATCAACCTTCTCTGCTTTAACCTTGAATTTGACAGTGCAGTTCCAACTTGTTCCGACTCCATTTTTTTTTATTTCGGTGCCACATGCAGAACCTATGTTTGGTTTTTCCGGTAAATGTCATGTGAAGGCACCAAAATTATACAAAATTATAGCACTGCTTTGCAATCACCTGCTGGTTTCTTGAAACTTGCTGTTCTTTAACCCTAACCTTTATCCATCAAATCCCTGTTTTGATGTTTATTTCCCTTTCTGGGTTGTTTTGTTCTACATTGATATCTGAGAACGAGAATAATTATTAAGTTCTGCTGCATAACAATTATTTCTCAACATCGATTATCAATACATTACTATACTGTATATACGTAAGGAGACTTATCATGAACAGACTTACTCTAATATTCATTAACGATGTACAATATGCAGTTACTGCAACACAACATGCATTGACAGCTTTAGAACTTCTAAGAGAGAACAAAGACAATTATGATATTGTGATAAGTGATGTTCAAATGCCCGATATGGATGGCTTTAAGCTTTTAGAGATCATTGGTCTTGAGATGGACTTGCCTGTCATCAGTAAGTGGACGCATTATATTATTATATATTTTTTCCTGAGTTTTGTAAATCTAATACCATATTTATTTTAGTGTTATCTGTGAAGAGTGAAACCAGTTACGTGATGAAAGGTGTACTGCATGGGGCTGTTGACTACTTGGTGAAACCTGTTAGGCTTGAGGATCTCAAGCTCATATGGAAGCATGTAATCAAGAAATCACTGCTCGTTAAGAAAGAGAGCAATGACCCTAGCAACACTCATATTCAGAAACAGAAGGCAGATAATGATCGGTACTCAATAACAACAAGAAAATCCATGGATAAAATAAAGGAGAAAGAAGATTCTGCTCATGAAAACTCAGATGGTGAACCATCAAAACAGAAAAGGCAAAGGGTTTCTTGGTCTGCAGATTTGCATACTCACTTCGTCAAGGCTGTCAATCATCTTGGCTTAGATAGTAAGACATGAATGTGAATTGATTGGTTAGACTGAAAATTTCTGTTCAACTCTTAAATGACTTCCATTTTACAGGGGCAGTACCAAAAAAGATACTTGACCTCATGAATGTTAAAGGACTTACTCGAGAAAACATTGCGAGTCATTTACAGGTCCAATTAAGTCAACTACTCTCCACTCGTGCTCTCATTAGAAATATCTAAAGCCTTGCTCCATTACATTGGTATCCCTTGCGCATGTAGATATCTACAATTTTATATATTAGATCTGAAAGTTCTAGTATAACAAATTCTAATCCGTCATGGAAGTTTCAAATTCAAACTTAGGCATGAACTGTTGACTTCCTTATTTCATCGCGACTTAATTATCAAGTAGCTTATATGTTTCTTCATGTCCTGTGACTCAGAAATATAGAAAGACACTTAAGAGGAATGGAATAGGATTGCAACAACAACATTGTGGTGGTCCTCATCCACATGGTTTTGGTGTGAATTCTCCAGGTTCTGTTATCTTGTCTTTTAATCCACAATTTCATGCTAAACGAAATTTTCTTGAAGAACATGGATTGAATGAGTATCAAAAAGATAGTATGATGATCTCATCAGGCCCCTCCTGGTATACCAACAGCAGTGTGGCCCCTTCACCATTCCAGCATTTTGCATCATTTCCTCAAGCAGGTCATTTCAAAATGGAACAAGATGGGTATTCATCAAATTCTATGGGAACCGAAAGAGCATATCCTCTCTCAGGATTTAAAAACTTGACCTATCAATCTCTGAGACCAACATTAGATCAAGTTGAGTGCTCCATGAAGAATTTTCACCAAAATTCCTTGATTGTTGGTGGAATTTCTTGTCCAGATTCATCTTCCCAATTGCATCATCCACCAAATGAAAATTCTTTTGAAACATTGCTTGAGAATAACAATGCAGGACTTGATGCCTCAGCCAAGCTGAATCCAGTTATGCCTAGTAAGTAACTTAGATCATGTAGCAAATCTTACTTCTTGGAATCTCTTTTTAATATTTATTTACCTTTTATAATCTCTTTTCAACTATGGTTTATCTTTCTGCTGTGTAACATAAAAAAATATTTTTTTGATGATGTAGCAGGTCTAGATATGTCAGCCCAAAGCAGCAGAGATATGTTGGACATGCAGAGATATGATGGAGACAAGTTTGAAGATACTTTCCAATCAGAGTTCGCAAAGCATCAACCTGAGGATTCTTCAATCGAATCACTATTTTCCCTTGACAAATGCAATTCTATGGATGACCTTAATACAGTCCTCAAGCAGGTATTCCATTTAATGAGTTCTTTCATCTGTTGGTGGTGGCTGTATTTTCAACATCTAGATGAACTTAAATTATGAACTCATCAAAATGTCTTTCAGATATGCATATCTTATTTTTACCAAGATAGTTAATTCCGAGGCTTTGCTTTTTTTAGTAAAGATATGAAATACTTTAGTTTGTTTCTTAATGCAATGTTTCATTTTTCACATTCTTTTAAGCGTTCTCAATTAGTCGCTCATAGTGGTTTTGTATATGTGGTTTTCATTATGTATCACGGTGATCATTATCATAATAGAAGAAATATGAAACAGTAAACTTTTTAAGAACGAAGAATAGAGTCAAATCGCATTGTCATGCTTCTCCCTTTTGGTGCCATAGCAAGGATCAAAGTTCTGGTGCTAATGCTGTTTGTTGTTCCTATTTTGAACACTTTGGCTTACCAAGCGTTCATTTGTTCTTTCAGCCTCATCATTCATGGAATCCTGATGTCACTTCAATGCTTTTGTTTACAGCCATTTGTTTGATCTCCTGTCTCAATGTTAAACTACACCTGCTTATCAAATATCTGTAGAAAGGAACTGATCATTTTTTGAGTTGCAAACCTGGAAATAGCAAGAAGATTTTATATGCTGCTTCCCTTAATTGGTGTCACCGGGCATTGTCAGAGACTTATTCCCTTCTTATAGCTGCCAGACTATATTTGCATGAGCAGTTATTTAGAATCTATGATTCGTTTGGATCATTTAAGCAAAGCTATAAATAGCTAGAAGCTTTTATATGCTACTAGTAATCTTTGTTCGTTTCACCTGCCATTCTCATAAGGTTGAAGCTACCGCTTTCAGCATATGCAGTTCTTTAGAATCTATTATAAATTCTGATCTTTTATTAGCCAATATTAAAGTCATCATATTGCCTAAAACCCATCTAATTTTTGTTGCCTTTACGATATTGGCTTGTCTACGTCAGTTTCAGCAGCAGTAGGGATGGATGAGAGAGGCGGCCACCAAACAGAGGTTGCTATCATCCCACCAGCTTAATCAGTCGACTGTGGCTATTTTATCACTAGATTTGAGGAATTCCTGCAAATTGAGTATATTGATTTGTAAAAAATCTGCCCCTTTTTTTTGTATTTTGTATTTTTGTATTTTTTGTATTTTTGAATTTGACAGATTACAACGGTTAGGAGTTTTCTGTGAAGAATTTTTGACACAATGTGATCCCCAATAAATTATGTTAGCAAAATGTCATCCCCAATAAATTATTTTCAGCATGGCAATCTGACGTTGTTTGATACAGAAAACATAGAGAGTACAGGAATGATCAGAAGAAGCAGGCATGCAGAGAGCTAGTAAGAACTAGGTGGCCAAGGAGGAAGAAGAGACTACTGCAGCTGTCTGCTGCAGTCAATGGATGTGGTAGAGCTTGGAGGGCTTGAGGCCCTGTGTGACGTTGAAGTAAGCCAGCGTCGCCGCCCACCGGGGGTTGTCCTTGAGGCGGTGCACCACGATGGTGTCGGGGATGAAGGGGCGACTGTAGCAGGGGCCATTGTCGTAGTAGATGTCGTACATCCGGGGGTTCACGTCCACCCGGTTCTTCCCCCGGTTGCCGTCCCTGAGCCAGTAGGCGAGCACCACGTCCTCCCCCAGCGGGTGGTGCACCTTGTTGTTCCTGGGGATCTCCGACTCCAAGATCCACTCCACCAGATCCCACGACAGCGCGTACGCCATCCCCGTCATCCACCCGTCCGGATCCGAGATGTTCTTGCAGGGGATGTAGAAACCCATGTACAGGTCGTCCCTCGGCATCTCCTTGAGCGTCTGCGCCAGCGCGTCCACCCTTATGTACGAGTCGTCGTCCGCCTTCAGCACGTAGTCGTAGGGCGGCTTCCCTCCCCCGGTGCCGTTGAACAGCTTCGGCATGCTGGAGAAGTAGGTGAAGGTCTTGCCGTCGTTCAGGTTCTCGGCGCAGTCGAGGATCACGATGTCGTCGTAGCGCAGGATCTCCAGCGCCACCAGCACCCGCTGCTCCTCCTTGGTCAGGTTGCACAGCACGAAGCGGACGTCGACGCGGGCGTTGATGCTCACGCTCGGCTGCAGCGCGTACGCGTTGCGGAGCAGGTGCCGCCGCTCGTACGTCTCCGGCTTGGTAAGGATCCCGACGAAGATGCGCAGCTCCGGCTCGGGCGGCGCCGCGGAGGCGGGATCGGCCAGGTCGGAGCGCCGCGGCTCGCAACCGCCCGGGACCAGCGACTGCAGCCACGACTCGTCGGGCTGGACGACGAGGAAGATGACCGCGATCAGCGATATCGGCAGGAGGACGAAGGCGGCGGTGGACGCCTTAGGGAGGATGAAAGAGATCTCCGGCGCAGGGAGGTGATGTTTCTTCATCGTTGGTGCTACCCGGTGGGGAGGCCTCGAAGGCCATACCGACACCCACACCAATATAATGAAACAGTTTGGACCGTTGACTTTCATCTCCCAGTGATCAAGTCAACTTTTCGGGAGGAGCGACGCCGTGGATCCGACCTTGACTTCCACACCGATGCCGCGCCTGCAAGTGCGCACGGCACATGCAGTCACCGGAGCTCAAGAAAGCTTTCCTCCAACCATCCCCGCGAGGGGTTCGCATCGCACGTATGTTGACATTGGCTTAGGAAAATAACACAGGAGAACAGAAGACGCATTAAAATTCTGATATAGAGAAATCGTAGGGTAGCTTAGACTCCTATTTCTATTTAGCATCGACACGTAATATATATATATAAACACGGATCCCATGAACAGGCACGTGCATGCCGAAACGTGTATAAGAATCATGCCAAAATGATCGTGATGCGGAAACGTAATAGATTATTACGTGATATATGTTGTTTAGTTCTTCAAAAAGGTTGAAGATAATTAATTTTAGTGAATTAATCTTTTTGCATATAGTCGAAATAGTTGATCCTTCATGTTTTGCTAGTGATATCAGACGTGAATGATTGATGTCGGAGTAAATATAATTATCGATACTTTAATTGTTAATCTAAATTTTGATTATCTGACATAGAGGGTGATCTGGATCTAATCATGACCCTTTTTGAGTTTTGTTGATGGATTAGGATATTCCTCAAAAGCAACAAGTATATTGGACGATAGTAGGAAACAGAGACATGGTTAAGGATAACAATAGTAATATATATCATTTAGTAATTAATTAGTTACTAAATATTTCATTAACCATTTCCTTCTCACACCACAAGTAGGTTCCCAACCCTTATGGTATATATAACTCTCATCGCAATCGATATAGTTCTTGCTCTAAGGCACAATCTTCTTTCGTCCTTCCTCGTACTATCTCCTCCAACGACCTAACAACTATAACTTCTTTTTCCTCTAGCTCTCGACCTATAAGACTCACTCGATTTATGTAGCAACTATGAACCCCTTTAGACACTCCAAAGGTGGTAACTTTGCATCATAGCGAACTTAATTTACCAACATTCTTTTCATATACGATCTACTAGGCTACGACATAGTTCTCTCAATTATCCATCCGAAAATATTTAAATACTAGGAGAATCAATCTTAATTACAAATTATAATTATTATGTAAGTCGTTCTAGCCTTAATTACTAGCTTCATAGCACCACTAATATGCAATAAGCATGGTCTAAGTTATAAACAATCTTTGTCAATTGCTCTTGCATCACCTCAACTAGGTCACTAATCAGCTATAAAAACTTCATATTATTTCCCAATACAATCCTATAATATACTATGAAAATATCAGTACTACCTATTTATGTGTCAATCCGATTTTTCACTCACACATGAAACATATTATCATCGATTTTTACTTTATTAGATATTAAGTTATCATACATGAACTACTTATTTTTTATATTCACACTTTTGACCAACTAACATACTTTTTTATAAAGCCTCTCGCTCGTAGAATATTTTAGCTACTTCAGTCCAAGATTGACAGTATTAATGAAAGCTCAATCTTACAAGGGTATGATAAAACATCATGATAAAGGTAAATATGAAATAACAACTTTGTATTCATTATATATTCTAATCCTCAATCAATATATGATTTATAATCAATCATAATAATATATATACATGATACATTAGAAAAATCTTTTTTCTCTACATAATTACTCTAAATTATTCATTGACTCCATTAATTACTCTATGAAAGAAACTTTCATGAGAGATGCTCTCGATATAAGAATCCAAATTACTGATGTGTCGGACAATCAGACTCTCTCTCTCTCTCTCTCTCTCTCT